GTTCTAATAGGCATATGAAAATAGGAAACTGAGGAAATAAAAATTTGGAGAAGATAGCCAGAGGTCAGCCTGAACTTGAACCTGCATCTTCTGGTGCCAAACACCTGTGTTCTGTGCCACTTTGCTCTGCACACAGAAGGCACAAGGGGACTTCTGCACAGGGTGTGACAGTGCTTCTCCACAGGTTATCTCTGAGTTAAACGGAACTTTGTCTGTGCTTAAAAACCACCACGTGCCACATCTGCAAAATGTGGCTCCCAGTAGCTGCTGCGTTCCTGAGCCCTGTCTGCACGGATGGCACGGTGCTCCCAGCTCCACAGAGCTCTCTGCCCACCTAGAGCCAGTTGGGGACAGTGCGTGTGATGCACAGGGAGCCTCTCAGCTTTGGACACACTCGCAGTGCAGATGCCCCATTGCTCGAGCCAGGTCCAGGGGTGGCTTACTGCTTCTAACACCCTGAAACTATAATCACTGCTGTTCTTGAAAGACAGAAGGTTGGGGTCACCAGGCCTGCTCTGCACTCCCTGTTCCTGCCATTGGGATCCTCAAGCTTCCACCACTGAGGCCTTGACCACAGAAGCCGCCCGGCACTCTGTCCCCTGCAGCTCTCCGTGGGCACTGCTCCCACTGTTACACTGCAGACGGACCAGTGAGGAAGACACCCAGGTGCTCCAGCCAGGAACACAGGCACTATCCTGCATCTTCCCTTTCCTGCCACCTTCTAGCCCCATCCAGGCCACAACCAAGTCCTGGACATGGACCCCAGACTCCCATTCTCAGCTGCCTTCAGAAGGGAGGGGACAGGCACAGTGACTCAAAGCACAGCCTAGAGTGAGGCTAGCTCCCCGTGTCCCCATTTATGTGACACTGTGACAGCAGGACCTCCTCCTAGAGTTGTTATAGGAACAAAGTACATTTCTGGAGCACTTGGACCAGTGCCCTTCAGAAGGGAGGGGACAGGCACAGTGACTCAAAGCACAGCCTAGAGTGAGGCTAGCTCCCCGTGTCCCCATTTATGTGACACTGTGACAGCAGGACCTCCTCCTAGAGTTGTTATAGGAACAAAGTACATTTCTGGAGCACTTGGACCAGTGCCCTGCACACAAGAGCTGCTCTGTGGTGTCTGTGTGGTCACGGTGGACACCTGGGGCACCTGACTGTGGGCATGCCTGTAGGTGTCACCTGACTATGGGCACACCTGTGGGCACGGGCTCCTCTCTGGATGTGGCACCTGCACCCTGCCTCACCTCTGCAGCTTCCCACCTCAGGCTAGTCAGACCTTACCTGAGGCCTGCTCTAGAGCATTAAAAGCCATTAATCTGTTCACGGGATTTTGTCTTAAAAACACATTGCATCCCTGATTGTCTAGTGGTTAGGAAAAAAAAAACAACAGATTTCTTATCTTTTCCGTTTTTTTTAAATTACAGAATTACATAGACTCACCCATTCCCAGCACTGTGGTGCCCGTCTCTGAGCCTGGTGGCCTTTTCATCACCCTCTGGGAAGCCAGTGGTGGCACTGGCTTTGGGCAGGGACATGCAGCCCAGTACCTCCTTTCTTACCTGGCACTGGACACCTGCAATCTCCACTGCCCCCTGGGAGCGTGTCAGTCAGCAGGGCTGCTGGGTACAGGGGAAGCAGAGAACTGGCATCATGAAATGACAGTTGCAGACGTGTCCTCACAGCTGCAAGCCTCCTCCACCCGGCAGGCCTGGCACATGGAGCAGCACATTCACCTGGGTCAGAACATCCTTTAATTTAAAGTGTGTGGAGCTGCTGTGCACGGTGGCTCACACCTGTAATCCCAGCTCTCCAGGAGGCTGAGGCAGGTAGATTGCCTGAGCTCACAGGCTCCAGACCAGCCTGAGCCAGAGTGAGACTCCATCTCTAAAAATAGCCAGGCACTGTGGTGGGCACCTGTAGTCCCAACTACTCAGGAGGCTGGGGCAAGAGAATCACTTGAGCCCAAGAGTTTAAGGTTTCTGTGAGCTATGACACCACAGCACTCTACCGAGGGCGACAAAATGAGACTCTGTCTCAAAAATAAATAAATAAAGTGGGTGGAGCTGAAGGAAGCAAGTTGGTCTTGGGGCTTTCTAGCAAATAAAATGGAAATAGCAGAAGGCACCCATAGCGCAGTGGGTAGGGCACTGCCATGTAGACCAAGGCTGGCAGGTTCAAATGTGGCCCGAGCCAGCTAAAACAACGACAACTGCAACAGAAACTAGCCAGGTGCTGTGGTAGGCACCTGTAGTCCCAGCTACTTGGGAGGCTGAGGCAAGAGAATCGCTTGAGCCCAAGAGTTTGAGGTTGCTGTGGCCTGTGATGCCACGGCACTCTACCCAGGGCGACAGCTTGAAACTCTGTCTTAAAAAGAAAAAAAAAAAAAGAAATAGCAGCCGTCTGTGCACCTCCAGCCCCTGTGATGTCATCTGCCTTACAGCTTAAACCGAGCTAGGCACGCTTTCCAGAGCATCTTCCAGAACATTCTGGGTCTGGTGCGTTGGGCCTTTATTCTTCTGGGAAATGCATGCAGGACTGCTAATTAGTGTCTGATTTAGACTTGGGCTCTGGTCCTTTGTCCAGGACAGAAGGAAGCAAGGAGGAAATCACAAGCACACCACATTTGCAAACTAAACACTTTCAGACTTTTTTTGCAATATCTGCATTTCCTAAATAATTCAAGCTTTGAGTTGAGAGTGTGTCTGTCACTCTCCTTTACAGAAATAACCTTTTGTCAATCAGCGCACGGTTGCTGCATAAAGCCAGACGACCGTGTCTAGACAGGCAGCAATGAGAGCTACGAACTGGGAGTTGCCGCTCCTGCTCAGTGCACTCGAGGGTGCCCTCTGGGTTACATTGGACCTATTAATTGACATCATTATATAATACTCCCTAAAAATAGAAAATGCGCTCTGAGGAGCAGAAAGGCACAGCCAGCGCGTCTGCGCGCCTCTGCAATGTCCCCTTCCCCAGCTGTCTCGCCCTCCGAGCTGAAGCACTTTGGTGACCCAGATCCTGCTGCCTCACCCCCAGCCCGTTGGAGTGCTGTTTGGGGTCTCCATCCCTTATCCATGTGGCCTCAGCTGTGTAGATGCACACCAGAAGACAAGCAGGACTCGTGAGAAGACACACCTGAAAAACCACCCAGAGCAGGTGGTGCCTTCCCTGTGTGAGCGGCATTGGTGCCTTGCTGGCCCCACTGGGGTGGGAAAGTCCTCTCTTCCCCTGCTGCCCCTGTGCAGGACCCCATCCTCCCCCACTGCCAGGACAGCTGGTGGGGCCTTCGGGCTGAGACTACCACAGCCCACGGTGCGTGTCCTCCCAGCCAGGCCACATCCGTGGCATCCTCTTGCCCTCCAGCAGCATGTGGAGGTCATCCCCAGTGTGTAGATCCCTGTCGTGCCCTCAGCATGTGGAGATGATCTTCGATATTGGGGTGTAAAGGGCAGGCTGAGTCCCACCCTCAGCTATCTAACACTCAGCTGTCTGCACTCTACCACAGCAATTCAGATTATCTCAAGCCCAGGTGAACACCTCCAACAGGGCAGAGTTTGCTCAGACACACCAAGCCTGCAAGTGCAACCCAGGGCCAGCTGCGGTGTACAGGGCTCCGGGCAGGGTGGCTCCTGGGGCCAGCTGCGGTGTTCGGGCTCAGAGCAGGGTGGTGCCCAGTGAGTGGGACCCAGAGCCAGCTGCAGTGTGCTGGCTTGGGGCAGGGTGGGTCCTGGTGAGTGGGAGCTGGGACCAGTTGCAGTGTTTGGGCTCAGAGCAGGGTGGTGCCCAGTGAGTGGGACCCAGGGCCAGCTGCAGTGTGCTGGCTTGGGGCAGGGTGGGTCCTGGAGAGTGGGACCGGGGCCAGCTGCAGTGTTCGGGCTCAGAGCAGGATGGTGCCCAGTGAATGGGACCCAGGGCCAGCTGCAGTGTGCAGGCTCAGAGCACGGTGGCTCCTGGTCTGGTTCATGTGCAGGGTTTTCCTCTTGTCTCATCCCCGTTCAGCCCATGCCTGAGGGAATTTAGATTCCTGGTGACACCAACTCTTTCTTGCCAGTTTCTGTGTTTATGATTATTCCTCAAAAGAGACAGACTCACTAAAAAATATCATCTGACCTGGTTTAAACCAGCTAGATTTTCTTCAGGGTCACAATTTTGATCCCCAGGTGTGTCCTCCGAAGCACTGAGGTAGCCCGAGATAGATAACCATTAAGAGGAAAAAACCCTTCCTGTTCACAGCCAATTGTTCTTCAGTCAATGAGGGCAGGTGAGGAGAGGCCCCTCCAGTGCCCTGCTCCTCGTAGACCAGGGGGCTGGGCAGGTGCATGACCCCAGCGGCTTCTTCACTGGGCTGTTTCCTCACCCCCAGAGGAGGGTCGGGGCCATCGGGGAAGTGGTGACTGGCAAGATCCTCACTAGGTGAAGGATCTTTCCCCAGGAGCTCTCGGCCTGTGGTCAGTAATACAGAACCAACCGCAGTGCAGCCTCTCTCATTTCACATTGCTTTAGTTTTTCTCCTTTGAGTCTTTTCTCCTCATCCTGCTCTCAGAAAAAATAAATTCTCTATTCAAATTCAGCAGCTTTTACTTTATAGAAAACCAAAACACAGAAGAAGCAACTAAAAGTTACTAACAAAACAATAAAAACTACAGAAGTAACAATTGCACCTAATTTGACACCTGAAAAGGCCCCAGCGCCTTGCTTTGCCTTAGAGGAATAAGGCTGATATTTTCACAAAAGTGAATTGTCATTCTCATATGTAACATACTCAATGCTTTTCTAAAAAGAAAAAAACATGCTTATGTACAATGTCTGAGATGCTTTATGAGCATCATAAATCCCAATCCCACCCTCACCTGGGGGCAGAGTCCCCAGCCACTGACCGTCACCCTGTGTGACAGTGACCAGCAATGTGTGATAAGTGAAATTTGCTGTACCAAGAGTATACCATGAAAAAGTCTAGCTGCAAATACGTCTTCATGGTTTATCATTTGAAATGATTGCAGATCCTGAGCCACTTGGAGCATGGCTTGGCTGAAGACGGCAGCATCAGCAGCATGACCCCAGAGCACAGGCAAGGTGAGCGGCCAGGTGCAGCCAGCTGGAGGGTTCAGCAGACGGTCCCCTGCAGGCTTTGTTCTTCCCTGTCAGGGCACTCAGCATTCACTCACTTTCTCCTTTCTGGGTAAACCAGCCCCTGTGGTTGGTGCTATTGAGAACAATCAACAGTCTCAGAACTGAGCCTGCTCTCGGAAGAAGATGCACCTTCATGTAATGACACAAACCGCAGGCAGTATTCCATGCCAAAGGGGTCTGGGAGGGCACAGAGGAGGGAGACTGGCCAGTGGCAGGACCCTGGGAGGCGTCCTGTGTGGTATGTGGAGACTGGGGCCAGGAGCTCAAGGGGCCCAGAGAGATCTGGAGAGGAAAACAGGTTCTGTGAGCAGAGCCTGGGAGCCAGGGCAAGGATGCTGGGCTCTTTTGCTTAGGGTCAAGGGATTGACAGGAGTAGCTCTGCACTATGGCAAGACTGGTTGAACTGCAGCAAGTGTGGTACAGGTGCACACAGTAGAGATGTGTACAGTGCATGTGTGCGGTGCAGGTGTGCACAGTGCTGATGTGTGCGGTACTTGTGCACACGGTGCTGATTTGTGCAGTGCATGTGTGCGGTACTGGTGCACACGGTGCTGATGTGTGCAGTACGTGTGTGCGGTACTGGTGCACACGGTGCTGAT